TACAACTTGCTTTAAAAAAAAAAAAAACGAACATTTTATTTGAGAGAGAGAGTGAGAGAGCAAGAGAGCACAAGCAGGGGGAGCAGCAGAGGGAGAGGGAGAAGCAGCCTCCCTGCTGAGCAGGGAGACTGATCCAGGGATTGATCCCAGGACCCTGGGATCATGTCCTGAGCCAAAGGCAGATGCTTAACCAGCTGAGCCATCCAGGTAGGCCCCTATAATTTGCTTTTTTATCTTAACCTCTCAGATTTATCTTCCCCTGTTAACACTTCCAGTTCCTTCTTGTTAATAGCTGCACAGTGTTCCCACAGTGCAATCATACCACATTTGTGCAACCGCTCCATTAACGGACATTTGGGTTGTTTGCAATTTTGTTTTTATGAATACTACACAAACATCCTTTTATCTATAAACAGTGTTCTATAGTTATTTAGGTACAAGGAACATCTTTATACTTACAGATAGTTAACTTATAGATAGTTAACCTCTTCTTTTTTCACCCAGTAAGGAAACAATGGTATGCATTGCTGTTTTACCATCAGAGTTCCTAACTATAGTGAGCCTGGGCATTCACACTTAATGGGCCTTTTTTTTTTTTTTTTTTTTAAAGATTTTATTTATTCGTCAGAGAGAGAGAGAGAGAGAGTACACACAAGCAGGCACAGAGGCAGGCAGAGGCAGCGAGAGAAGCAGGCTCCCTGCCGAGCAAGGAGCCCAATGCGGGACTCGATCCCAGGACCCTGGGATCATGACCTGAGCCGAAGGCAGCGGCTTAACCAACTGAGCCACCCAGGCATCCCCTTAATGGGCTTTTTGCTATTCTTCTGTGAACTGCCAACTTTGCCCATTTTCCTATCCTTTCTTTTTTTTTAATTTGTAGGAGTATTTTATTATGTGTGTTATGTATATTATGTGTCTTATGTATGTGAGCTTTTTCGTTGCTTAGATATATTGCAGATTACTTCTCTCAGTTTACTGTCTTTTAACTTTGATGACATTCTGAATCAGTAAGTTAATTTGGGGAGATGAATCATCTTGCCTCCTTACCAGCCTATCTGGTCCTATTCAGAACCACGGTTATAAAGATATGTTCAGGTCATCTTCTATGTCCATTAACAAAGTTTCAGACTTTTCTTCACAGAGGTCTTACATACACCTTGCTGGGAAGTCATGGGAGCCTTCCCTGGGATCCTTCTAGCCACTTCACATCCACAGGATTTACTGCCTACATTTAATACCCTTTATGTTCATCTTTTTATATATGTCTTATTATTTCAAGTAAATTACAACTTTCTTCAAACCAGAGACTTTGCTAGCTACAAGGTGCTTCTCTGAATTGCAATCCTAGTGCTTTGCACACAATGGGTGGCCAACAGATGTTCGAGAGCAATGATTAGCCAACAGACTGGCACTCAAAAGAACAGAGGAGACAGCTGCTACAAAGAGTGAGCTGGGAATGTGATACAATAGCTTCCTGACCTCAATAAAAGATGAGATTTTGTATTCAAAATTATATGCTGTCCAATTATGAGAAATGGAGGGGACGCTGGATGTTCCTGTCATGTTTGGAAGGATAAAAAGTCTACGACAAAACCAACATAACAACACCTAACAACAATCAAAGCAAAGGAGGGGAGAGACTAGGAGAGGGCGCCTGGGAGTGACGGATCTCAAAAGGACTCCACTAGTAATTTAAACACAATAGATACAGCACTATTAATAACTATCAGCCAGCCTACAGAAAAATGTTGCTAGAAGTTCTTCATCTACATACCAAGGCTTGTTCTCCCAAGGCTATCCAGGTCAGTGTTTAGGACAAGGACAAAGTGATAACTTGAACGTTCTGTGGATCCAGCTGCAGCAACAGTTCAGGGATCTGAGAAAGTCACACTTCAACTGGGCACCCCTTTGTAATGACAACAGCAGACAAAGAGCTAAACCAAGATCAGCTCTCCTGTCCTCACATTAAAACAGGCCCTTTAAGGTGGCCATCCTCAAATCAGATGGTCAGGAAAACAGAATCTGCAGCTTCCTCACTAATCTGCCTCATCCCTTACCCTAAGGGAAAAAAGCCCCATGGTTCCGGCTGCAGGGATGTTCAAAACAGGTGCCCAAATCCTAAAATGAACCCTAATACCAGTATTGTCAAAGTGAGAAACACAACCTGAACGTACAAGTCTCTTATTCCAGTTATTTGAGAAACTCATATCGAATTCTTACTCTTTCAAAAGCCTCTAAACAACTTTCATAATTTAGAATGGAAAAACAAAGCAGCCAATCAAATTTAGCATTTAATTATGAATAAATGATCTCGGTGATTTTGATTTCTAAAAGGCCAGGAAATCTCATGTATAAGAACTAAAATGATCCTAAATCTGACAAAGAGAATAGTTTAATAAGTGCTACAGGTTAACTGTTGGGATACTTGACAAACACACAACCCATCTTGACAAACATACCTACCTTCCTTACTATTTTGGCTGAAGTATTTTCTGTTTTCCTAAATGCTCCTAAATCTCTCAAATGAAGATAGTGAATATAAAAAAATAAACAAAACAAGGGCGCCTGGGTGGCTCAGTGGGTTAAGCCTCTGCCTTCGGCTCGGGTCGTGATCCCAGAGTCCTGGGATCGAGTCCCGCATTGGGCTCTCTGCTTGGCAGGGAGCCTAACTCCCTCCTCTCTCTCTCTCTCTGCCTACTTGTGATCTCTCTCTGTCAAATAAATAAATAAAATCTTAAAAAATAAAATAAAATAAAATAAACGAAACAGCAAACCCTCTCACTTTCTCCGCATTACTCAAGGTTCCCTTAAGAATTTTATACGTGGAGGTATACTAGCTTCTCCCCCAATATCTTAGTTTAGATACCTGTTTAAGACACAGCATGCTTCAATACTTAAGGACTTGACAGAGAACAGGATTCTGAGAAATACACAAAAGAAAATGAAGATACTCATACAAAAATTATGGAGCAAAAATCAGGACAAAAGTAACATTTTCTGAGTGAGGGTGGACGAAATGGGTAAAAAAGGTACATACTTCCAGTTATATAATAAATTAAGTCCTGGGGATGTCATGTATAGCAGGATGACTATAGTCAGTAACACGATATTACATATTTGAAAGTTGGGTAGAGAATAGATCTTTAAAGTTCTCATCACAAGAAAAAAAATGGCTAACTATGTGTGGTGATGGATGTTAACTCACTGTGGTGATCATTTCACAACATATACATATATCAAATCATTATGTTGTACACCTAAAACTAATACAATGTTATATGTCAATTATATCTCAATAAAGCACATGGCGGTGGGCACATTTCCTGAGTGTAATGAAAAAGATGACCTAAACTACTAGTCTGGCATCAGAGTTTAAACTAAAATTACTTTGGCCAAAATAGATACTGATTCAAAATCCTTAACTGTGATTAGATTGCTTGTGTTTCAATCCTGGCTCTACCACTAATTTCCCCATCTCCTTTCAGGCTCAGTTCCCTCCTCCACAGAATGGGGACAATAGCACCTAGCTCTTAAGATCATTTTAAAGACTAGGTGGAAAAAGCTACGTAAAGCATTTAGTGCACTACCTAGCACACAGCAAGCACTTAATCATCAGCTGTCACAGTTGCCACAATTACTTTTCTATAATTGGAAAACTTAGGACTGAATCTCTCAGAATGTGTACAAAATGATAGATCATCCCCAAGCCAGACAACACCGGGTTCAGTACATGGACTTTGGAACATCCATTTTGACTGCTCAAAGGTCTCTTGTTTTTGCTTACTTCCTCGATCTCAGGTACGTTCTGGGGAGATAGGTGAGTCCTAAAGACAGCAGTCAGTGATGTGGGGTGTTACTCTAGATATGGAAATCTTTAGAAACTGATCAGGGAAATGGGATCTCTGCCACCTAGGTAGATCCATCCATCTTTTACTGCCTCTGCAAAAATTAAGCTCTCGAACATGGCATCAAAAAGAAGTTTAAAGAGGACACTGCATTTCAAGAAATCATCTAAAAAATTGCCCCTCCGAAATTTTTACGGTTAATGAAATGTAAAACTTCACAGTTGTTATATGGGAAAGATTTGTCCCACTGCCTCCCAGCAATGCATGCATGAAATGTGTACTCCAGAGGAGGGAGTCGCCAACTCACTGGTGACGTGGAGTGAGGAATTACAGGAGACCACATGAGACCTCGGCGAGCCCCGGAGCCGCAGATTTAAGAGAACCCGTTATTAGCTGGAGGCACTTAGGAGTTCAACTAACTAGTTCGTTTTTCAAAGCAGCACTGACGGTCCCCAAGAAATTCACTTAGGAACCTCCTCACACTTCCTCCCGCGGCGGCCGTGATCATGAACCCCAGAGCTGGGGTGAAGCCCACAGAACTCTAGGGTCAGACCTGACGCGACACCCTAACCCAAAGGCCAGTCCTTGAAGAGGCAGGGTAGCGAGCGGGGTGACCTCCCGCTCCCGCTCCACCTCCCGGGCTGGCCTGGCTGCCACGTCAGGCCGAGCGGGCCGCGGTCCTGCCCATCCTCCTCCCTCCCGTCCCATTGATTCGCGGGCTCCCAGCACCTCCGGACCCGCCGCCCAGGCGCCCCGGCGCCCAGGCGCGCGGAGCTAAGCCCATCAGAGCCGAGGGCACCGGGGCGAGCCTGCCGGACTCCCCCGGCCCCCGCCCCATCCAAACTTTTCAGACTGAATGGGGTCCCGCGTATTCCGGCTGGCGCCTCCCCCGCCCCGACAGCTCAAGTTCGGGAGCCCACCCAGCGCCCAGCGGGGCCCAGCGCCGCGACACCCCTCCCGGCCTGCGCGCCCACCCCGAGGGGCCGCAGGGCAGGGTCCTCCCGCCCCACGCCCGGGCCGACCCCCCGCCGGGCCAGCCGAGGGGGTGTGTCGGGCGCCGCAGGCCCGCGGGCCGTGGGGCGGCCGACGTCCGCGGCTCCGCGGGGCGACCCGGCCTGGCGCCCGAGCCTCTCCAGGACCTGGCCCGCCGCTCACCGGCGCAAGAGCGCGTCTTCCAGATCTTCAGCAGCAGGATGACGATGGCCGCCAGGTGGGACAGGTCCCCCGTCAGCCGGAAGATGTTCATGGCGGCAGCGGTCGGCGCGGCGGCCCGGGGCTCGGCAGCTCAGGCGGCGGCGGCGGCAGCGTCGGCCCCTGAGAGGAAGCGGCGATAATGGCGAGAGCGGGCGCGACGTGGCCAGGGACGTGGCCGAACTGCCGGCGCGCGCGGGGTAGTCTGGGAGAGGGGAGGCCGCTGCCAGGCCCCGCCCCTGCCCCGCCCCTTAAAGGGGACGCGCCCAGCGTAGCCCCGGTCTGAAGTGACGGCTCAGGGACTCCCTCCGCAGGACCCCGACCCCTCCCCAACTTCCCCCTGCCGGTTTCCGGCTTCCCCTCGGGTGCCAGCGATTTCCTTTAATTTTTGAAATGACACTCCCTTGTGAGAGATTTTCCCCCGCACCCCATCTTAAGAGCTCTGTAGGCTTACTGGATGAAAAAGTGTAAGAGGAAAATGAGTCATGTGTCCATAATTGTATAAGCTGGATAATTGCACCTATTCACGCAGGAGAGAATTTCCATTTTGACACAGAGAACTCACTTACCCTTTCACAATTTTACTGGCTGCAAGGATTTTTTTGCAGACCAGCTTCTGGCCCTCTATTCTGCACAACTTGTTTCTCTCTCACAGAGATGTGCGCCCCCCCTCTCCCCGCCCCGCCACCACTCCGCATCTCAGATACACTTGCAAGAAAGAGCTTGCTGCCCAGGTGTAGGAAGTGTGGTCAAGATCCGGCAGTCAGTGTCTTCTAGGCTGATCTCACCTATTGGGGGGGCACCTCATCCAAGGTCACCCCTTCCATGGGGCAACCCATATCTGCTTCCGGTGACTGAGTGAGCTGGAGGTAAAGGCTTGGCCAGTTCACTTGGGACATTCTAGCAGACAACACTTAGTCCAGAACTCCCATCCTGTGGCCGGAGCTTTGCTGGGCCTGTGTGACCATTTGGCTTCTCCATGCCCTGTCCTGTTTCTCCTTCTTCCTTCCACAGGTATAGATTTCCTGTCATTCCTCGACCTGTCTTGGCAGTGGCTGCTTCTGGAGAACCCATCCCGCGACAGTTGGAACAGGGAGGGGTGCCAGAAAGCGGTGATTAGAATGTGGGATTTGGAGCTGGCTGGAGGTGGCTACCCCATTGGGGGGTGGAGCACAGACAGCCCCTAGCAGAAAGGAGATATTCAGTTATGAAAACTTTAACTTGCCCAACCAAAATGAGTCTGTTATGTCAAAGGTAGGGCCTTGGTTGAAAACACCTGGAATCCAGGTACATAGATATATGAGCAGAGGCCTCGACCATGTCTAGCTCCCAGGGCTACCCTAAAACTTTTGAGCCTGCAGCAATGGCCCATTCCCCACCCTCCCCCAAGAACTAGCATTCCCTGGAGCTGGAAGGCCATGCAAAGTCCTCTCCGCACCAGGCAACACGTGCTCCTCTCAGGACCAGCCCTGACAGGTGGGAGGCTGGCAGCTGCAGGACAGGGATTTCAGCAGATGGGGTCCAGAGCTGGGCAGAGCCTCCGCACTGACAAGATACCGGGGAGAGCGACCTCGTGTGGTAACCCTCTGTAACTACACCTCCTGGTAGGTGTGTGCTCTGGAGTCCTCCTCTGCCTGGTTCTGGGATGCTCCTGAGACTCAAGTTAATTCATAGAATGAAACAGAAGGGATGCTGTTCTGGCTCAGGACCTGGCTTTCAAGGGAACTGGCAATTTCCCTGTCCCCTCTCTTGGGAAATGTGTTTCTGGGATGCCTGGGCTGCTCTGTGAGGACTCCAGCTACCCTCCTAGGGAGGTCAGGATATGGGGAGAGACCTACCCAACACAGCTGAGCTGGAAGAAAGGTAAAATATTGCAAAAACCAGAATGAGAAAAGAGCAAGAATCCAGAGAAGAAAAGAAGGCCTGGATCTAGAATCAGCCCTGGAGGCTTGTGTTGATGGTTCTGGGCTCAGAGGGACACAAGAGAAAAAGTCTGTACAATACGGGAGAGGGTTAGGGTTGGAGATCTGCATATAAAGTAGGGCCCTCAAGAATTGGGACCCTCGGTGGGTACACCAGGGTGGAAATCACAGAGGGTGAAGGGCTTCTTTTAGCCTTGGGTTTGGGTGAAGGGAGCAAAACAAAACAAAACAAAAAACAAGTCTCCCTGAGAATTTTTTTTTAAGATTTATTTATTTATTGAGTTGGGGAGGAGGCACAGAGGGAGGGGGGGAGGGAGAGAGAGAATCCTGAAGCAGACTCCCCACTGAACCCAGAGCCCCATGCAGGCTTGATCCCAGGACTCTGAGATCATGACCTGAGCCGAGACCAAGAGTTCGATGCTCAATAGGCTGAGCCACCCAGGCATCCCTCCCCTGAGAATTCTTTTTTTTTTTTAAGATTTTATTTATTTATTTGACACAGACAAAGAGAGATCACAAGCAGGCAGAGAGGCAGGCAGAGGAGGGAGAAGCAGGCTCCCCGCAGAGCAGAGAGCCCGATTCGGGGCCCGATCCCAGGACCCTGAGTTCATGATCTGAGCCAAAGGCAGAAGCCCAACCCACTGCGCCACCCAGGCATCCCTCTTCTTCTTCTTCTTTTTTTTAAGATTTATTTATTGATTGATTTTTAGAAAGAGAGAGTGAGCAGGGGGAGGGGCAAAAGGAGAGAGTGAGACAGTCTTAAGGAGACTCCTTATTGAACATGGAGTCCTACATGGGGCTCGATCTCATGACCCTGAGATCATGACCCTAGCAGAAACCAAGAGCCCAACACCCAACTGGCTAAGCCACCCAGGCACTCCTTCCTTGCAAATTCCTTTTTTTTTTAATTTAATAAAATTTAGATTTTATTTATTTATTTGCCAAGAGAGACCCAGACAGCAAGAGCACAAGCAGGGGGAGCAACAGGCAGCGGGAGAAACAGACTCCTCTGCTGAGCAGGGAGGCTGATGTGGAACTTGATCCCAGGACCCTGGGTTCATGACCTGAGCAGAAGGCAGCAGCTTAACCTACTGAACCATCCAGGCCCCCCTCTCTTGAGAATTCTGTGTTTTTTTTTTAAAGATTTTATTTATTTATTTGGCAGACAGAGAGCACAAGTAGGGAGGGAGGCAGGCGAGAGGTGGGGCGGGGAGCAGGCTCCCCGCTGAGCAGAGAGCCCGACATGGGGCTCCATCCCAGGACCCCAAGATCATGACCTGAGCCGAAGACAGAGGCTTAACCCACTGAGCACCCAGGCGCTCCTCCCTTGAAAATTCCCAACACGACCCTACCCACCTATGAGTTTGAGGCTGGAATTCATAGTACTTATGTGACAAACAAAACAAAACAAAACCACCAAGAGACATGCACTTTATTTTGTTTTTTAAGATTTTATTTATTTGAGAGAGCTAGAAAGAGAGAGCATGAGCGGAAGGAGGGCCAGAGGGAGGAGCAGACTCCCCGCTGAGCAGGGAGCCCAACACGGGGCTCGATCCCAGGACCTGGAGATCATGACCTGAGCTGAAGGCAGGTGCTTAACTGAGTGAGCCACTCAGGTGCCCCAGAAATGCACTTTTTTTTAAAAGATTTTGTTTATTTGACAGACAGAGATCACAAGTAGGCAGAGAGGCAGGCAGAGAAAGAGGTGAGGAAGCAGGGGCTCGATCCCAGGACCCTGGGATCATGACCCGATCCAAAGGCAGAGGCTTTAACCCACTGAGCCACACAGGCGCCCCCAGAAATGCACTTTAAATTCAGACTCTAAAGAATTACCACAGGCAAGTTTCCAAGAATAAGAGTTCTCAATACAACAGCAAAACAAGCAGAAAGCAAAAACCCACACACAAGGAGAAAGCTGCTGTGAATTAGAAATGCAGAAATGAGACACTGCAATATTGGACTTGCAGAGACTTTAGTTATTAGAATCAGCAGACACAGGATAAAAAATTAAATGTGTTTTACATGTTTATGTAGATAAAAGGAGAAAAATATGAATGGGAACCAAGAGAGTATGAAAAAAATGATCTGGCATAGTTGAAAAAGAACCAAATAGAACTTTTTCAAAAAAAGACTTTATTTTTAAGCCATCTACACCCAATGTGGGACTTGAAGTCATGACCCCAAGATCAAGAGTCACATGCTCTGCTGACTGAGCCAACCAGGCATTCCCCAAATATAACTGCTATAAATAAAAGCCATAATAATTGATATTAGAAATTCAGTAGGTGAATCAAGCAGTTAAACACAGCTAAAGAGAGGGGTGCCTGGGTGGCTCAGTGGGTTAAGGCCTCTGCCTTCGGCTCAGGTCGTGATCTCGGGGTCCTGGGATTGAGGTCCTGGGATTGAGCCCCGCGTCCGTCGGGCTCTCTGCTCAGCAGGGAGCCTGCTTCCTCCTCTCTCTCTGCCTGCCTCTCTGCCTACTTGTGGTCTCTGTCTGTCAAATAAATAAATAAAATCTTAAAAAAAAAACAACACAGCTAAAGAGAGAATTAATGAGTTAGGAGTTAGATATGAAGAAATTAAACAGAATTTATGGGGCAAATAGATGGAAAACATGAAAGAGACAGAGAATAGACTAAGAAACAAAATGTCTGATTGGGATTTCAGAAGAAAGAAAAGATGGAAAGAATGAGAGAGAAACAATATTCAGAAAAACAATTACTAAGAACTTTCCAAAACAGATGAAATATCTAAATTCTCGGATTCAGGAATCCCAGTGAATCCCAAGTGAGACAAAAAAAGAAAATCCCGGCATGCCTGGATGGCTCAGTCCATTAAGCACCTGCCTTCGGCTCAGGTCATGATCCTCGGGTCCTGGGATTGAGTCCCACATTGGGCTCCTTGCTCAGTGGGGGATCCTGCTTCTCCCTCTGCCTACCACTCCCCCTGCTTCTGCTCTCTCTCTCAAATGAATAAATAAAACTTAAAAAAAAAAAGGATTTTCAGATACAAAAACAGAAAGAATTTACTACCGCCTACCGGCTCTCACTACAAAAAATTCTGAAGTAGGGGTGCCTGGCTGGTTCAGTTGGAAGGCCATGCCCCCCTTGACCTCGAGCCCCACGCTGGATGTACAGATTAATTAAATTAATACATAACAATGTTTTTTAAAAAGTTCTAGTGTTGGGGTGCCTGGGTGGCTCAGTGGGTTAAACCTCTGCCTTCAGCTTGG